CTATATCTTTAAGCCTCTCATTCACTTATTCAACTGCTTATTTCTCCGTATTTACCGACTCACATAGCCATTCATTTATTTATACATGTTTTCACACAAATGTCTATTTTTTGTATATTGAACACTGTTTGATTAAAGTTCTAAAAGAGGTTTTTTAAAAGAATAAATTTGTGATTGTTTTGCGGAGTATCTTTGTTAAGCTTAGCGATATTTGTGAAAATAAGAAAAAGGAAAAGAGAACGAAGTTTTAGTAATATATGTAGAAAAATGTTCAAAATTTTTGAGTCACAAGTTTAATTGAAGAAGAGCCTAATATTTTATTAGTGAATTGCTCTGTTCCTCAGCGAAGCTGTTTCTTTCAGGTACAAGGGTTTCGTCCGCGACTGTCCAAATGGAATGTTAACTGAAGTTGTAAGTTGACAGCGTTTTTCTTTTTCTTTTTTTCCTCGATACTAAATATTAATAAGACTCTTACTGATCACTTGAAGTGATGCGTATGACTTCGTTTTGCTTCAAAATTTTTGTTTAAGACAAAAATTAGTTATTATTGTTTTATTCTGTACATGCGGTCTTTTGCACTTTTCTATCATTTTCATGAGGTACAAAGATCTAAGATCGTTCCGATTTTCACAAAATCTGATCATTGTTCGAAAATGATCGTACTTTTACAAATGTGAAAAATAATTGTAATTTTGGAAATTATTATCTCTGATGCCTCTTTCTTTCTTTAGGGTTTTCAAAAAATCTATAAACAGTTCTTCCCACAAGGTGACCCTACCGAATTCGCTTCATTTGTATTTAAAGTATTTGATGAAAATAAGGTAAGCAGTTAATGTTGCGCAGTGTAATTGACCGGTAATCGAAAATGCTACTGTACAATTATACTCATTCAGAATCAGTCGATCTTTAAGCCTATAGCAGTGTCAGTTTTCTTCTTTTAATCCTGCTTCTTTTTTCACAGCTTTCTTCAGCCATTGTTGATAGGGGCAAGTATATGGTGGAAGAACTGAGGGTTATTAGGTGGTGCTTTAGAAATGCAATCATTGCTGAGACTGTTGATATATACGCACGTCCAGTTTGTTCTTTATAAACGTTAAGTGACAATGATCGTAATTAGCATTACTTATTGCAGCATAATGTAATCTGAAAAAAAATTCCAGTATATTATTATACTTAATTTTTTTATTCTTTTCTAAAATTAACTCTGTTTGTGTAAAATGTTATCAATTTATTTTTGCGTAATTCGAAGTGTGAAAAAGCTGTTAAGATGGTCTTCAATGTAGAAAAATTAGTTAATTTTTTTTTTTACTGTCATTCTCGTTTTTTTTTTTTTTGAAAAGACCTGGAGCTAGGCATTTCAAAATTTTGTTTAAAGTAAAGACAAATGAATTAATGCAAATATGTTTTTTATATACCCTTACCGCATTTTAATATAAACTAAAATAATTATACATTTCAATCACTATTCATTCATTCATTGGTAAAAAACGTATTCTCTTTATTGTTACAAAAAGTAAATTTTGTTTTAAACGTTTATAATGTTAGGTGGATATCGATCAAATTCAGGTAAAAAAAAAAAAAGAAAAAACCAGGAGTGACGAAGAACTTTTTGCTAAATTTGGAATCAAATGAAAACACCGCTCTTTATTTTTAGGATTTTGACTGTAGCATTTGCAGGGTCGTTTTGGACGTAAACCATTTTAAATGTTTTAAAAATGGCAAAAATCTAGTCAGTTACTGTTAGCTGTAGTGGGATAAGTTTTTTGCTGAAAACAGGAAAGAGAGGTGACAAAAAAGTAAACTGAGTTAAAGTGAGTAAAATTCGTAAAAGCAGGCTAAGGGCAATGAAGCAAAAATGCGAAAAAAGCAATGGTAAAACTAAGTAAAAGTTAACTGAAAAAATGAAAGTAGGAAAAGCTTTTCAAATTTACAAAAGATTTCCGTCACGGTCTGTTTGCAAAACCAAAAAAATTTTTCGCCTGTTGATGTTGCCTACAAAATTGAAGAACAAAACTTCCAACCTCTTTGTTCTCAGCTAGCATCAATGACGTTATGTAGTTCAACAATAATTTCTTCATATTTTTCAAACTTTAGCTGGGTTCCATAAAAAAAAACAAGTTACCTGAAATGAATTTTATTTGTTCACTTTGTTCCGCAAAAAAGTGTTGCTTCTAGCCCAAATTCCTCTCTTTTTTGGTATACACGAGGAGAAATAAAAAAATAAATAAAAGTGTGAATAAAAACGCTCAATCAGTAAATTTGTTAATTTTACTCGTACCTAACAAACTTCACTTTTTTTTTTGAAAAAAAAGTCGAAGATTTTGTAATGTTAGAAGTTTTACTGCAGTCTCTCAAATTTTTTCACTAGAACAAATGTTCCTTAAGTACCAAATACAGGTTACCCAAAAAGAAAGAAAAAGTCAGACTTTAGTCGCTTTTAGTCGACTTTTTTTTCTTCAACAAACTCTTAAAAAGACTTGTTAGTCAGGTTAATAAGCATTATAAGCTATGTGATGATATTAGTGACTGTATACCGTTTTGAAACCTTGTTAGTAGCCTAGTAAATTTTGTGTTTATTTAGTAGATTAACCTGTGTTATCAAACTAAAAAATAATTATCGCTCTAATACGAATCTAAGCCTTCTGCTGCTTTTAATTTTTTTAACATTTGAATAACTCTGAGGAAAAATAACAACAATTAGTAACTGACGTATCCCTGATTCTTGCTGTTCACTTCCCGTTTTTGCCGAACTGTAGCCAGCATCTCATCTGGTTGACAGTTTTGGAAATGAAAAGCACTGAATGCTTTGTTATGCTTTTAAATAAAATAAAATTTGAAATATACTCTAAATACTTCTTGTTTAGGATGGAGCTATCGAATTTCACGAATTTATCAGGGCGCTTTCAATTACTTCAAGAGGGAATCTGGACGAAAAGCTACAATGTAAAATTTGTTTCTCGCTTATAAATAATGACAGTTCCAAGAAAGCAAAAATTCTTTTTAGGGGCATTTAAGTTGTATGATCTTGACAATGATGGATTTATAACTCGAGAGGAGATGCTTTCTATTGTTAGAAGCATATATAAAATGGTTGGATCAACCGTACGGTTACCAGATGACGAGAATACACCAGAAAAAAGGGTCAACCAGATATTCCAAATGATGGATAAAGTCAGTTTTTTCTTCTCAACTGCTTCTTTTTTTTAGTATTGTGAAAAGTGATTAAAAGTTGTTTTTTGTTTTTTTTTTTTGTATTATTTTTAATTATGACAGCAAGCTGTGGAGCTTTTATTTTAAACTACAGAATAATGATGCACAACTATCACTTGATGAATTTAAAGAAGGGGCCAAGGCAGATCCTTCAATTGTTCACGCGCTATCGTTGTACGAAGGTGTCGCTCCATAGTCTTAAGTGCTGATCACCACTTTTTATACCGGTCCTCTATGCATTTTTCACTCATTTTTGACTTACTGCAATGTTTATTTTTATGCTGAATAAAACGACAAATTATGTACAACAAAGTCTTCAGACAGAGTAACATCTATTTCTTTGAAACGACCGTTATGACTGCCTGTCCGAAAGTTTTCTTGGTCGAATTAATCAAGTACACTTTTATAGCTATTGTAAATGTTTTATTTGCGCCACCTTGTTTCTGGTTGAGTGTAAGAAGCATTTAATTATACAAAGGTCGAAATAAAATACTGAAATTAGTTTTGTAGTGCAGTGAAGAGAATTGAGCATATTTGCCAATCAAAACTGCTTTTGTACGTAGGAGATTACTGAGAAAGTCGCTGCTAGATTTAAGTTTCTAAGATAAAGAGAAACAATCTTTTTCTTAAACAAAGTGATTGAGAGACGGCGTAACATAACATCTCAAGCACCAGTAAATTTATTAGGCCAAGAGCTTTCAAAAAATAGGTATCAAATTTATTTTATTATCAGAAGATTGATATTGGCATTTTCTAAAATGCAGAAAATTACTGTTTTATTAAATTACTGTACATAAAAATTTCTAAAATTATAAGCCACTTGTATTTTAATTTTTAGCTTTTGCAAAGAGCAACATATACTCACAGTAAAAGTTTTAGACTCATTGATGAAATAAAACTGAAGTACCTCGTTTATCTTGAACTTACAGCATAATAAAAACTGTATCAGATTTACAAAGGGTTGCTGTCTAAGTGCAGTTCTGTCTGGAGAATGCTCAGCATTAGAAAAATGCTGTAACAACCATATTTATATAATGCACCTTTAAGAAGATTCTATAACAAACCCATTTCGAGCAAAAGTACAGAGAAAAAACACATATAATCTGAAAGACAAAGACTTCTCTATAAGAACTAAGATGTTAGCCTAAATGCGGTAAATAAAAATTTATTCTTTGCAAATAGTTGAAAAAGCTGTGGTTGCTTTAGAAAAAAGCTGATTTATTATCACCAAAGTCGCTACCGTTTTAGACTGACGAATTTTCTACTTCTGTATCAAATAGTATTAGCTCCTTATTTCTAGTGAGTTTTCGCGTAAAAACAGTTTTTTTTGTTTACCGCTTTATTCTGTCGTTAGCACGACTATTCAAACTTTTAAGAACATAAATCTTTTCTGGTCGTTCATGATTTGGCATTGTTACCTGCTTCTTAGTCTACGTAGAGAAATCTGCAGTAAAATACGTTACTGTTAACACTGCCTTCGTCGCATTCTGTCAGATACTTTACTTTACTGTCCACGCTTTTAATACAAGATTAATTCGTCAAATTTGCTTTTATTAATACTTTTAAACTCTGAGCAGTCCTGCAATTTAGAGAAAATAAAAAAGAAACGATGTAACGTAAATGCTGTTATTGCTGAAAAGCTGAACTGTTATTGTAAATTCTGAATAGAAAAGATACTAAGTAGAATAAGAGTCTACTTACTTTCAAAGAAAGATAATTGACCAAGATATTACTGATTTGATTCTTCGCTCTAACTCTTTAGATAAGTTGGCAAGGAAGGGTTGAGCCATTTACCAATCTAAAAATGTAAAATTTATCTCAGAAGTTCGATTTTTAAGAAGTCTTCATAAAGTTTAATAGCTACCTACATATTGCAAGAAAAAGTATATTAAAGGAAATACATGTAATTTCATTAAACACTGTTGAAAATGTGATAATATTTAAACAGGTTTTCACCAGCGCAGTGTCCTGCAAAGTGTTCTAAAATAAGTAATAGTTTTTTAGACACTGCTTTACAGTGTACTCTCAAAGTTGGGGATTCTACAACTGCGACCAAAAAAGCAAAAATTTTTTTTTACATTTTTTACATATAAGATCATTTTTCTAATTTTTGTTATCAACATCACTCTAAAATCAAGACAACTCAGCAGTCTTAATTGAGAAATTAACAAATACGGTCGGCTATCTAGTGAGTCAGTATATGAATTCTCAGGAAATTTTTTTCAGATAATAAGAAAAATAATTTAATAGCATTTCCTTCTTCGCTTTTTAAGTTTTCATTGAGCTCAGTAATATCTAAAAAACTGGTTATTCAATACTAAATTAACACTAGAAAAAATAATTTACTTCGTACGTAATATCATATCTTTATTAATTACATAAACGTCTTTTATACTACACCTGAAATTCTGCACAGAGTGAGTCTACTGTACCTCAAAAATAGTTATTTTTGAAATCTATCTATTGTCTAGCACAGACTGAAGTAACTTTCCGTACGAAGAACAAGAAGTATATTTGCACCGTTATTTTGCCTCCAAAAAAAATTCTGCGTTTTCTTTATTCTTCTTTATTTGATCTGGCTTTGGTTAAACTCCTACTTGTATTTTTCCAAAAAAAGTGTACAAAAAATTCATAAATTTGTTACAGAAGCCAACACAATCAGAGAGTTGCCATTTATGTTTTGAGACGTCACTTGACGTCACTTAAAAATCAAAACAAACAGCGAAACAGCTCTTACTAAAAGTTTAAATTTTTATTCATTACTTCATCCTCTCAATATTTCACCAAGCAAATAATTTTCTTTACACTCAAAAAGCTTGCAGAGTCATAAAAAGTTTTTTTGTCATTTTTAGGTCGTTGTTCCTACCCACTCAGATGTAAAAAAACTTTTTTAAAATTAGAAAACTACTTGTATCAAGTCTAACATTTGTTTAAAACTTGTTTAAAGTTTTTTATCTAATGCATATTTAAAATGTTATCTTAATGATTGGTCCAAGTTTAAAAATTACTACATAAAGATTGCTCATTTTCCAATGCGTTTAATTAAAAATTTTTAATTACAAAAAAAAGACACCTATGAAACAAAAAATTGAGAATACTTGTAAAAATTCTGAAAGTTTTAATGTGAGGTAAACGCAGTTAGGAATATGTTATTTGATGGAGACGTAAAATGCACGGCCTGATGCACTTCAGCGTATCGACAGTTGTGATAACCAGTCAGTTTGGATTAGCCATTATCCGTTGCAATTACAACGTGGCGACAGTGCCTCACAGCACAGAAGCCGCTAAAATTGTTTTCTCGATGACAATTTGAGAAGAAACGCTGTGGTTGATTAATTGAGCTTGTGAGCAAACTTCTCCTGAGAAAGTTTCTGTTTTTATGAAAAGGCGCGTTAAATTTTTTGACAACTATTTTGTAAAGAGACGGTAAAAACCAGATTTTAGAAGAATTAAAAGTTGTTATACTTTTTTGCAATAATGTTTGTTTTATGTGCTGCAGCAGGAAACTGCTCAGTACTATTTGTGTTGAAATAGTCTGTTTTACAAAAGTTGTTAGTTACTATTCTAATTCTACTCTCAACTCTTGTTTGATTATTTCCTTTTGTTGTGTTATAACTCACTTTTAGTCAATTCTGCTAATATACTGCACGAAAAAAAACAACAGGCAACTACTGCAGCAATTCTTTCAAAAAAGTATCTTTTGTTTTTTTGCTTATTTAGTTTTTGTTTCCTCTTAAAGACGTCAAAGAAGATGAAATCATTATAAAAACTCAGCTCTGTATTTCTTTTAGTGTTTTATCTACAAAGGCATTTCTTTTGGTGGAACCAGTAAACCGTTTATTTTTTGACCGTAAACCTTTTAAGATGCTGACCATTTGATTCTAACTTACTTAGACACTAATTTTTGTCAAGTTTACACATAAAGAACAGTAATAATTTAAAAGAATAGGAACTTAAAATCCCTTAGTTTGATTCTCTTTTTAAGGCAAGTTTTTTTTTTTAATTTTTGAGAAAGCTTTTAATTTGGAATTTTTTATGTCGACTATAAATATATTAGAATATACCTATTTGGAGAGGTTTTAGAGAGAAAAAAGTTAATATACAACAGTAATCACCTTTTCGCTAATAAAAAATATTTTCATTTTGCGACTGTAAGCGTTGATTACACAACGTTTATTGAAACGCCTAAGAAGAAAACGTTGATGAAAAGCTGGAAATTTAGTAAAATAATCTTTACGACAAAAAGCAATAAACAGAAAGTTTTATATTTGTTAAAGCAGATCGGAAATAAAGTTGAATAGATATGACTCAGCAAGATACACATTTACTTGAGATTTCTACATTTTTTAGTTTGTAAAAAAAGGTAAATGCTGTACTGTTCAAATTTAGGACTTCAAGCTAAGATAAACACTTCAAGTTTTTTTAATTCGTGATTTTTGTAATCTTCTACTTAATTATGGTAAAATCATGTTTGGCCACTATCAAACAGACACGTTTTCGCATATTAGTAGCCCTAATCTGTAGTTTTTCTCTCTTTCCATATCACGACCCAGTTTTTGTTCATTGATTTTAGTGGTCTTTCTGAAGAAA